GCAAATAGGCTACGAAGCGGTTACGCTGGTCCCAAGTTAAGTTTATAGAATGTAACTCGATGTGGTCTATTGCGGAATGAAGGAGGGTGACCATGTTTTCTTTGTTGATATTCTTGGTGGACGCAACTAGTTTAATGAGGCCATTTACTTCGATATTTTGCGCCCTGGGTATTTGGTCGAGGCGGCATTCATCGAATTCTGGCAGTAGTTTGTAGTTTTCTGACTGGTACCTTTACAGCCTCTACTCTTTGATTTTGAAAGTCCTGATGACATGATTCACCACGAGTTGGGAGTAACAGTGGAGGACGAGTCGTCGAGCGCCATATTTGAGGGCTAACTTCAAACCTGCAATCACAGCTTCATACTCAGCTTCGTTGTTAGTCACCTCGGGGCATCGTATGGACTGGAGAATTACTTCACCTATAGGGACCTTTAGGACGAGTCCCAGTCCCGATCCCGAGGCGTTAGAGGCACCATCGGTGTAGATGACCTAGAGGTCGGTATGTGTAGAAGTGCTGAGTGCTTCCGGTTCTATCTCGGGCAATATTTTCGTGCTAAAATCAGCGACGAAGTCTACGAGCACCTGCAACTTGATGGAATTTTGTGGTTGGTACGTTATGTCGTGCTCACTTAGTTATATGGCCCATTTTGCTAGTCTACCCGATGGTTCGGGTTTGTGCAGGATACCCCTTAGAGGGAATGAAAGTGGTCTTTTCTTGATCTTCTTCATCCATGAGAATTTGGTTATAACTGGAGTACGCATCCACGAAGCTCAGCAGCTCGTGTCCCGCTGTTACATCGATAAGTTAGTCGATGTGGGGTAACGGGAAAGATTCCTTTGGGTATGCTTTGTATAAATCGGTGAAGTCGACACACATTCACCACTTCCCATTCTTCTTTTTGACCATGACCACATTGGCGACCCATTGAGGGTATTTCGATTCTCTGATGGAACCGTTAGCGAGTAATTTATCAACTTCCTCGTTGACTGCCTCATTGATTGCGGCATTGAACTTCCTCCTTATTTGTCGTATCGACGGATAGAGTGGGTCGACATTCAGCTTATGCGTAGCGATCACCCTTGGGATTCCTGGCATATCTGAGTGGGAAAAAGCAAACAAATCGGCGTTGTTTGTTAAAAACTCACGATACTCACCTGGCTCTGAGCGTTTATGCCCAATATAAGCTTTTTTGGTGCAGTCGATGTTATTTAGGTGGACGGGGTCAAGATATTCCACGGTTGCCTTGCAAGCTTCTACAAGGTCCGGATCTTTGATGGCATCTACTTGTATGTCGGGTTTGGTGCCCGACATGGCTGACTGCTATGCTTCCGCACTTGCCCCTTTTAGCTATTTTGTGTGTGTGCAATCTTGGGCAATCCGGTAGCATTCTTAAGCGGTAAGTGGCTCGCCTCGAATACTGAATATCCCCCATGGGTGGGAAATTTGATCACTTGATAGAAGCTTAAGGGGACGGCTTGCATGGCGTGTATCTATGGTCGTCCTATAATGGCGTTGTAGGCCATTTCCAGGTTCATAATGTGGAATGTTGTTTCCAGGGTGACCCCTCCTGCCAGGATAGGTAGCACTATTTTTCCAGATGTCTGCTCTACTGCATTATTAAAACCTGTTAGTGTTATGCAACGCGGTATTATTTTATCCTTGAGCCTTATTTGCATGAGAACTCGTGGGTGAACAATACACGCACCGCTTTGGTCATCCACCATGATTCCTTTTACATCGGTATTAGCGATGCGTAAATTTATAACCAAAGCATCATAGTGAGGGAAAGACAAACCGTCGGTATCTGACTTATCAAAGATGATACTATCTTCAAGGTCATCATATGGGTGACTGTTCGTTTGAGTTTGTGCGTGGTGGTGAACTTCACATGGTTGATTACTGTGTCATCGCCACCGCCAATGATCATTTGTATGGTACGGGCTGGTGATGGTGGCTTTGGAGGCCCTTGAGATGGGTCGCGCCCTCGAGTGAAGTTGGCCTTTCCTTTATCGCTTAGCAGTTCTTTCAAGTACCCCTGGTTCAACGTCCTAACTACTTCTTGCCACAGACCTATGCAATCTTCAGTCTTGTGTCCTTTTTCTTGGTGGAATTCACAGAGGACGTTCGACCTCTTGGTGCTTGGATTTGATTTCATCTTTTGCGGCCACTGCACCTTCGTGCCCAACTTCTCCAGTGCATACACTATCTCTAAAGGGGAAACACAAAAATTATGAGCAGATAGTAGTGGAGGCATACCTCTTTTGTTGTAGAGGGATGCAGCGTGTCATGGCACGATGTCCACATGTCGTGGAAGGGGCGGATTGGATGTTCGGATGTAGGGCTGATGCCTTTCACGATTGAAATGCGGTGGTTGATCTCTTCGCCCGTTGTTACCTCGATCTCTCCTTGTCTCGGTCTGGACTGATGTTAATTGTTGAACCAGACCATTCAGGTCATCCTCATCTGCCCTCACCTCGACGCAATAGGCGTTGTGGATCTCTTCCCATTTGGTAGGGGGTACGTCATGAGTCTACTGAGCAGTTTTTTGGTTGCCTTTGACCCGTTCATGTTTAATCCATTTTGAAAGGTTGCTACTGTCATCCCTTCTGACACATTCAGTAGACTCATCCTTACTCTGTTGAACCTGGCCAGGAAATCCTAGAGTCCCTCGCCCGTGGTTTGCCTGACGACAAAGATATCATTGATCCTAGCCTCAGCCTTCTTCGCTCCTGCATGAGCGGTGGCAAATTTATCCGCCATCACTTCGAACGTCGATATCAATCGAGCTGGTAGCTGGGAGTACCATGTCAATGCTCCCCCTATCAAGGTCTCATCGAACTTCTTTAGCAGCATAAACGATACATGATCTTTTGATATATCATTGCCCTTTACCGCAGTAACATAATGGATTATGTGATCCTCCGGGTCCGTGGTCCCGTCATATATTTTCAAGTATGGAGGCGTTTTGAAGGTCTTTGGAATAGAGTGTGGAGCAGCCCCTTCGCTGTAAGGCTATTTGACGAATCAGCCCACATCGCATTTTGGCAATAGCTTTGGAGCGCCTGGTATTTTGTCGACCCTCTCCTGATGTTCCTTCATCTGGTCGCGTAGTGTTTTGTTCTCATTTTCCATATCTTCCATTTTATTTAGGATGGCCATAAGTGCACCATCACCAGCATTAGTAACAGTGTGTGTGTGTCACCTGCTCGTGTAGTGCTTGGCTCATCGGTGGTAGCTGCGATTTCTATAAGTGGTACGTCTTCGACATCTCCTTGAGTGGGTTTCTCGAGCATGTTGATCAAAGCACTTGTTAACCATTCTTCTAGCAACTTTTTTTTCTCCTGGTGGTGCTTCCCCCACCGTGGATGTTGAGGCTCCCTTTTCGCACAAGATCTTTAGATCCCCATGTGGAAGAGGTGAGATCTCCCCTTCCGGTGTTGCTCTTGGTGTTGTATTCTCATTGTCTTCTCTACTGGCTTCATTGAGAGAGTTCAGGAGATTATTCGAGACATTTGCTATAGCCTTCAACCTCGCTTCCTTTCCCGCCGTTGTTGGTTTTTGTGAGGTTTAAAGAAAAGTAATTATTACTTTTAGGAATCTAGATGGGAACTATGATTTCAGCTATAGAAATCCCCACAGACGGCGCCAAATTGTTTGACTAAAAAGATGTTAAAACCTGTTTGAACAAATCAATCAAAGATGAAGGGGTAAATCGTAGCTGAAGATAATAATCTATAGAGTAATAATAAGTAAAGAGAAGAGAGTTGCAAAGTTTCTTTTCTTTCAAGACTGATAAGTTTCCCAGAGTTTCCACTGCCCTTTACAAGGTTTTTTTACCCCTCCCCCCATATACTAGAGAGAAACCCTTCTGCATTGTCAGAAAACAAAATACAAGGAATATTCAACAGAATCTTCTTAATGTCCCCTAATGGTTTTACACTTTTATATGGGTCGTACAATTTGTTCTTTGCCTTAAAGTCGACTCCCTTGGGACGTCGATTCGGAGCTACCCTGTCGTTTGTCGTACTCATCATAGGTCGTGGTCAGTCAAATTTGGACTCATACATATATATCCTTTATGTAGATGCGTTTAACTTTTAGCCACATTATCAAATCACTTAAAAAATAGTCAGTAAAACTTAGATTGTTAAACTAATTTTACGCCTGTTTTATCTAATTAACCATCTTTGAAGCTGGCAGAACATTTGTTCAAATTAATCGAAGTTCGATACAATGTCACGTTGTTATGTTTTGCAGCATGTATTGCACAGTTGGAAAGATGAGGATTGTGTCAAGCTACTGAAGAAATGCAGAAAAGCTATTGCAGAAAATGAAGAGGGAATAAAAAGGGAATAAAGTCCTTATCATTGACATGGTATTGAAGAGAGATGAAGAAGAACCAGACATGACTGAAGTGAAGCTCATGTTTGACATGTTAATGACAATTATTTTTACTGCTAAAGAAAGAACTGAGGAAGAATGGGGAAAACTATTCCTTGAAGCTGGCTTTACTTGNATTATTACATACATTTTGGAGCAAAATATTCATCATGATATTGCATTATGGCGAATAATACATTTATTAACAATATCATATGCTAATTGCTCGATTATTACATACATTTTGGAGCAAAATATTCATCATGATATTGCATTATGGCGAATAATACATTCTTTACATCCATTGTGCATTATGATATTAGATGCTTAAGTGTAAAGATAATAGTATCTATATAGTTTTACATGTAAAGGAACTGCCATGCCGATAGTCTTTATATATTAAAGAACTACCCCTGCCCAAACTATCTCCATTGTTACTCTGAAAAGTTTCATTGTCATTACATTCCATTTCGTAGAGACTTCCCCCCTATCTCAAGTTTTTGAATTCAACTTTGGCAGAAAAGATTTCGTTTATACAACATGAGTGAACTAATATTAAATCATCGAAGAAATATGTCAAATGAAACTTTAGCATGGTGTGAAACCTCAAAATATTATTTTATTTTCTTCCAAACAGTAGACAAGTTGTACAAAAAGAAAATATATAGTGAAATCACCTGAAAAGCAAGAGGAAATTATATCAGAATTTAGTGTCTCCAAAGATTAAGAAGATCATCTCTGCAATGTAGAGGAATTACCCAATCCAAACAATCTCCATCTTGAATGAGCAAATTTCCATTAACAAGATTATAATCCATAAACAGAACAAAAATCATGAAAGAATTATGCTATATGCAATAGAATCCTTCAATCAAACAATCATCTTAAAACATAAACAGGTTTTCTTGAAAAAGAAAAAGATTCGAAATTCAACAAAGACATTCAATTCTTGAACTGAAAGTCCAAATATTACCTTGCTGCAAATGTTGAAAGAGGTCGTTGATGCTGAAAATGCTACCAAAATATCCCTAACCACCATAACTTGTTAGCAATATTTCCTAAAGAAGAAGGCAAGGTTTTCCTATAAGCTAACGACTATAGAAGAATGTTTTCATCTTAAAAGATGTTGAAGTCTTCATTAGTCTTAGGTCTCTATCATGTATCTCTTCTTCAAAAGGGACTGAACTTTAAATGAAAAGATTACACAAATGTACCAAATTTATTAATAAAAGTAGAAAATAATACAAATTAATCACTTCTTGTATACAAGAAGCAGTAATAACTTGAATGCAGTTATGTCCCATTTTTTGAACAAAAATGAGACAAGTCCAAGTAGTTACATTCACAAATTGCAGAAGTTGGAGCAAAATTGTTAAGGTTTAAATGTTACTGTCCCATGTATGAAATATTAATACAAATTTTATCTAAATAAAGCAATTCATATTTTGAATCTTTTCAAAGCAATCACTTTACAGAAGCTCCATACATCAGTCAACTAACTTGTAATTTTCTGGTAATGTTCCATCCAAAGGTATCATACAAATACAAATACCTATAAGCAAACTTGAGATTACTACTTTTCCGGGTGATTGTGTTGGAAATTCATGAAAATTTAGCAAATGAGACACAATTATATATAGCTAGCGATAAGGAGATTCTATGAGAACAAACAAAACCAAGAATATATTTCAAGTATCTGAAATTCTCTATACCGCATTTAAATTTTTAAGTCCCACAATAAATTTGGGTAATATCAGTTTATTTCATTCGTAAAAAAAAAGACAGAAAATCCACATAGTTACAACAACAACTCGTCAAAGTTTTTCTCTATAATTTTAATCTCTCATGCTGTGTGGTGAAAAAGGAGAAAGGAAAAAGATGTAAAGAATTACAGATGCTAACCGTGTCAAACATTCGGCTCTCCGCTGTTGAGAATATGATAGTACATGCGTTAGTAAGTTTCTATTTTCTCTGTCCTCCGAAGGATGCATAAGAAACCAAAGACACAATCCAATTCATTGAAGAATTTTTCGATACACCTTGGAGACAAAGAATTTTTTATTTAAGAAATCAGATTGAGGTCATGAAAATAGAGAAACAAAAGTGGTCGTTAGCTTCAGCACAAATACCAACTATATGGAAATATACAACACTGAAAATCTGTTAGCAGTACATATACATACCTTTATTCTACAATAACAAAGTCTTACAAAAATAAAGAAGCAGAACCCCTCAAATTCAACAATAGGATAAATTCTTAAACCTTAGTGACTCGAGTATCAAAGAGGCTTTTCATGTCATCAAACACGAATGGTGCCAAAGATAAAGCTTACTTTAAATTATCAAGAGAGACATGTCCATTGAGCGTACCATTCTTGACCCCTTCTTGACCTTATTCGCTACAAATGCTCTTTCCTTAATTAATTCTGAAACTGAACAAATATCAATTTAGTTATATACAACAACATAAAGAAAACTAAAAAAATCTAATTGAATTTAAATTAAAGAAAAATAAAACCTGAATTGAGCACACAAAAAAGATACCTAGTTATGTATTATCAGTAAAATTCATTGAAAATCAAAGGCATCAGCGAGGAAGATCAGGATAGAAGAAAGCTGACTATGAAGAAGAATAGCGAAATAAGGATTAGTGTATGAAGTGGGTTCAATAAAAAAAGCCACGTAGAGTTTACACTAAAATGACTAAAATATCCCTAACTTTACTTTTATTGCCATGAAGTAACCAGGTTGAAACTCTGTCTCTTCTAATATATAGATGGTTATGGCCCGTGCTGGAAATTGTTAGTATTTCAGAAGTAAAAGAACCTAACAGAACACCAAGAGCACAGATATGACCTGAAGCGTACAGAATGTATATATAAGATGACAATTTCCACCCGGAGTATTAACATCAGACAACTTATTAGTGAGATTTATCCTCATAAATGCCATATTCCAAATAGACTGGATACATATTACTTAAAAAGAAATAAACCTATCAGCAAGTTTCAACTGTTATGCTACTATCTTATATTAACCATCATATTACTTTATCAGTGAGGTAACTTCTAAAATAAGACATACTTGCACGATCAAATACAATAAAGATATTGTTAGAGGTGTCACACCTCCTTTTTTACTACACCCCGTAAAGGGTATAAATATAAGGGAGTTTTTCTAATTAAAGGACAATCGAAATGGGATTTGTTAAAAGATTCAGAGTCGCCAGTTGGGATAATTTATGGTGTCCCAAGTCACCGGTTTAAATCCCGAATCGAGGAAAAGATTAACTCTGTACTACAGTCCGCGAACTAGAAATCCGAGTAAGGAATTCTGTTAACCCGGGAGAAGGTGTCAAGCATTCCCGAGTTCCGTGATTATAGCACGGTCGCTTTGATTATACTTGGATTATTAAAATTGTTTAATTACTCATTTTAAAATCTATGTGCTTTTACCTCTTTTAATTAATAAAACGTCTTGAAACAAGTCACGCGTACATGTACCCGTTTGTTTGGCGTGTCAAAAATCATGTCACGCGAACGTGTCCATAACTAATAATGCTTTATTATTATTAAGAATATTTGGTCGAAGTTGCGCGAACGCATACTCCGGTTTTGTTTTTAGAAAATCGTAACCATGTCACACGAATGTGTCCACAACCACGATAGTATATTAAATGTGCCAAAAGTAAACTACAAACCATTGTCATTTTTATATCTAGGTTATGGAATTAACACGAAGACCACGTATGATTAAATTGTGGATGGCATACCTCGGGCTATATGAACTAAACTTAATTTAACGGCCTACTAGCAACACTTTTATATTAAGAAGATTTGATCGAAGTTGCGCGAACGCATACTACGAACTGAGTTTTAGAATCATGATTATGTTACGCGGACGTATACACAATCACGGTGGTATATTAAATGGGCCTAAAGCAGACTACAAACATTTGTCAATTTTTATGTCTAAATTAATACGAATGCCATGCAATTGTCATTTTGTTTGGCACGACACACCTGGAATCATTTTATTTAAAAGGTTTTAAACTAACACATGAGGGCCGCGAACTACTTGTATCATATAATATGGCTCACCCCAATCATTTCCAAGGATCTTACTAATTGACTAAAGCCGCAAGGAATTCTTAATTGATTTTAAGCCGTGGTCTAAGCGAAAATTGATAATCGTCAAAGTTGACAAACAAGCAGTGAACTCGATGTCCAAATACGAAACGAGAGGACAAGCGTAGATCATAGCTGGTCCTGCTCACGAGGTCCCAATTCGAAAGTCTACCCGTTAAAAAAATCTGGCACAAATGGGCTAATGCTGATAGCCCAGATGAAGGCCTCAGTACCAACGTTTAGAGCATGCATGGTGTTTATGAGCATTTCTGACTCTGGCCCAACCATTAATTAATTTAAAACACACTTGCAATATCATTTGATTGTCAACATATATTCTCAGATTAAAGCAAAACCCCTTCATGCACTAATAAACCTTTGCACAAATTATCTGTCACTTAGCATTACAACAGAACAATCATAATTCAAATTCAAACTTAGCATTACATCTATCACTTGTTTCTTTGTAGAAACAAGTGCTTGCTTTTAATTAAAAGACAGAACAATGGCCTGGATAGTCACTTTCAGGGACTACTTTATGCATTTCTGGGTAATTCTATTAAACTAGATACTTCATGTTAATGTGACAACAATGCAACTATCCATACTCATGGAAAATAGCTCAATACCGACTAAAGTTAACAAGTGTAAATAAGAGTCCTAAATACAGATCTTAAAGTGAATTTCAAATGTTCATGGCATATCATTATTTAACGTACCAAAGAAGACAACATAAATGGACAAATCAAGTAAAAAACAGAGGGAAAACATCTATCAAGCATGGAACTCTTCATTTCTTCAAAACACATGAACCCTTCTTACATGTCTAGAATCAGGAATGTGTACCTGGAAATCAAAAACGAAACAAGGGGAATAAGAAGTCAATAATAGCAGCAGTAGGTCAGCCCAGAATCAGCAAGGAAGAGATATCAAACAGTAATCAAACCCAGCCTCATGTGAATCAAAAATGACTTCAGAAAAATGAACCTCGAGCATCAGAACAGAACAGAAATCAATGGACTAGTCAATTTCTATGACATTTCAGTTGCTTTTTATTTTCTGTATTCTCTATATCTTCTAATCCCCTATGAAATAGTAGATTTCTTTTTTTTTTTGCAGTTTTTCTATATTTTCTGGATTTTAGCTCTCAGAAATCTCTGCCTTCAAAGGCAAGAAAAACTGCCTTTATAGGCAAGGCACTAGGGCATCTAAAGGAGAATCAGATTGGCACCTAGACTCTTTTCATATTTTCAGTTTTGCTCAAAAGCCCTTAATTTAAAATATCAGATTTCATCTAATCCCCCACCCCACTTTCCTAGAAGTTTCTGAATTATGTTACTCAAGATTCCATATGTCTTTTACCCAAACTAACCCTTAATTGCCATGTTTTTACCCCTGAACCGAGAGTAGATATGGGTCAATCTTGATCCAAAACTTAAAAGGCTTTTGCAGTGGGGCCAAGAATGGACTCAAGGCCCAAACAAAATCAGAAGATTATTTTAATGAATCAATAATCACTTGGGAGATTTTAAAACTAAAATTCTAGCTAAATGACCGATTTCTCTTTTTAAGCTAACTAATGAACTATAATTAAACTATATTACCTAATCAACCACAACTAATTATACAATTAAAAGAATCAAAAATTGTGACCTAAATAAAGCTAAACATGCAACATACACAAATCAAACAAAACTGACGACAAATTTGAAAAGAAAATTGGAGAACACACAGAATAAATACGAACACCAAAATGAAAACCTAGGTTTAAAACTTTTATCAATTTTTAGTCAGAATAAAAATTAATTAAAGAAAAAGGAGAAGAAAAGAAGTGGAAGACGGTGAAGTGACAGAAATGGATAGAAAAATAAAGAAGCTTACCGACTAAACTCGACACCAACATTGGATTTCCAATTTATCCCAAATTAATGTTAATAGCTTGTTCTTTTTCAAGAACTAGCGACCATCATTGTTTCGTGATAAATCGGCCTTGAACACTCAGGAAAATCGGGGAAATAGCCCTTGCATGCACAGAATTTGATTTTGGGTTTTTAGGGTTTCACCCTTCAAATCAAGATTCAACGGGTTCTGGAAAGATTCGAGGAAAACGAGTACCAGATTTGGTATGAAGGAGCCATAGGGGTGTTGTGGTGTTGATTTTGATGGGGATATGAGTGGTCTATGGCGTCGCCGCCGGGATCGAAGCAGTGGGGAAAGGGGGCGGCGGGTTAGGGTTCTTGCTGAGAGTCTCAGGAGGGGGGTTGAACGAGAAGAAATGAGGGGGGTAGGGTAATGTTTGTACATATAAATATCCTTACCTCCCCAGTTCTGATCCGTCCGATCAGACCCAGTTCAACGGTCAAGATGAAGGGAACTGGAACGACGTCGTTTGGTTGAGTGAGGGGAACCAGACCGGGTCATGGCGTGAGTTTGGGCCGAGTTTCGGGTAGTTTGGACAGGTTTCACATTGGAAGATTTGGGCCTGGGAGTTTAGTTTGAAAACTGGCCCAACCCTTTTCATTTTTTATTCAAAACAAATTTAATTCAAAACTCTTTTTCCTTTTTCCTTTTTTTACTTTTTTTCGAAATTTAATTAAAATCAAAATTAATTCCTAGAACTAAAAAAAAACTAATTAAACCTAAAATGATAATTAACACAATTAATTAAAAATAAATTAACAAAAGAAAGCTACTCAAAATCAAAGCTAAAATTAAAAGTGCAAATTAAACTAATTTTGTGACTTTTCCATTTTATGCAACAATTAATTTTCTAATTAATCCTAAAATGTAAAATTAACCATAAATGCAAATGCAATGTATTTTTGTATTTTTCAGTATTTAAAACGCACAAATAAAATGCGAACAATTAACAGCAAATGCCACAAAAATCCACAAAATTGCAAACACTGAAATAAATTATTTTGTTTTAAATTTGTTGGAATAATTCATATAGGGCAAAAATCACGTGCTCACAGTTGCCCCTCTTTGCCCGTAAACACGAAGAGTTTTCGTGCAAAGATAAAGTGAGCGGATACGAGCGATTTTTTCCTGTTTGAATACTCCGTGGGAAGCATTTTTGAAATATTTGACCGCACCCTGCTTCCGAGGTTGCCTACATATCCTTGGCTAAAAAGGAATCAAGTCAGTGTAGTTCAGGAATGTTTGGTAGCTGGGACTACCATGAAGATGGGCTTTCACTGTTGTTGTTGTTGTTGTTGCTGCTACCGCTTACTGAACCCCTTATTACACCATGTCAAAAATAAAAGGAGCTAGGCTAGACTATGATCTTTGTTTTACAAAATCCTATCTAAATCTTCAAACTTGCTCTTGTGTTTCTTGTTGCCTTGTTGTCCTCTATTCTTTCAGTGATATCCATTTGTTATCCCCTTGAATTGTAAGCTGATATGTATTCCCCTTCTTCAGATGGGTGCCTGACCTCTGAACTTGATACGTATTCCCATGCTATCCAGGCGGGCCCCTGCTCGCTGA